GACATACGGACCTCGACTGATTAATGTGATTCACTCGAAGGTGAATGAGAATGAGGTAAGGGAGAAAACCCAGAAGGTAAAACACCTACAACATGTGTATCAGGTTGGGAAGAAGAGAACTAGGGCAGATGAGAACCAGGGACCAGTGGTGTCCTTTACTAAGGAAGACCTAGAGATGGTGCAGCATCCACACAACGATGCCTTGGTAATATCTCTCCAGATTGGAGAATGCCAAGTGAAGCGCATCTTAGTTGACCAGGGTAGCTCTTGTGACATCATGTATGTCAGATGTTACAAGGAGCTTGGTCTTCACCAAGATTATCTGGAGCAGTCCATTGGTCCAATGGTTGGGTTCAATGGAACACCGATGTGGCCCCTGGGAGTAGCAAGTCTGGAGGTACAGGTTAGCACCAAGAGAATAAAAACAGACTTCACCATAATCGACACCCCCTCCCCTTACAATGTTATCCTGGGAAGGCCATGGCTACATGCAATGGGGGTTGTTCCCTCAACATTGCATCAGTTATTGCAGTTCCCAATAGAGCATGGAATAGAGGAGGTCATAGGGAATCAGTTGCAGGCAAAGAATTGCTCCATAGCAGCAATGAAATCCACCTGCAACATACGAGAACCAAAAACAGCAGAGATCGAGGACGAGGACGTGGAAGTCCTAGAAGACGTCGGCAAAGAGCCAGCCAAGAAGAGTAAAGAAGCCCTGAAGAAAATCCTTGTCCAGCAAGGGGCTTAAGAATGCTTCTTCTTTCTCGGCTCGGGCTTAGCCGAGGAAGATGAAAGAGAACTAGAGGCATTCCTAAGAGCAAATCTAGAGGTGTTTGCATGGACGCCCTACGAGATGCCTGGCATTGACCCCGAGGTCACTTGCCACAGACTGAATGTGGACAGATCGGCCAAACTTGTCATCCAGCGAGCAAGGAAGTCGACATTAATGCATGTTGAGACAGTGGAAGAGAAAGTAGATAGACTTCTAGAGGCTAAAACCATTAGAGAGGTAAATTACCCGACATGGCTATCAAACACAGTGGTGGTGAAGAAAAAGAATTGTAAGTGGAGGGTCTGCGTGGACTTCACCAACCTGAACAAAGCTTGTCCCAAAGATAGTTTTTCATTGCCCAAGATTGACCAATTTGTGGATGCCACTTCAGGGCATGGAAGAATGAACTTTCTAGACGCTCACATGGGGTACCATCAAATAGCCATGTACTCCCTAGATGAGGAGAAGACTGCATTTATCACCCCAAAAGGGCTGTATTGCTACAGAGTAATACCTTTTGGGTTGAAAAATGTAGGAGCAACTTACCAGAGATTGGTAACCAAGATGTTCAGACATCTAATTGGCATAACAGGAGAGGTATACATAGATGACGTGGCCGTGAAGACCAAGGAACCTAAGGACCATTTGGAAGACTTAAAGGCAGTCTTTGACATCCTTAAAACATATCGGCTCCGACTCAATGCATCGAAGTATGCATTTGGAGTTGGGTCTAGTAAGTTCTTAGGATATCTGGTAACCAGAAAAGGCATTGAGGCAAGCCCAGATCAAATCAAAGCCATCCTAGAACTGAAGAGCCCAACATCGGCAAAACAAGTGCAGATGTTAACTGGAATGGCGGCAGCCCTGAATAGGTTCATAAGCAGAAGCTCTAACAAGTGCAAACCTTTCTTCAGCTTAGTAAAGAAAGCCATAGACTTCTTATGGACCGAAGAATGTGAAGCCGCCTTGGCCGACTTGAAGAAATATTTGACCACAGCTCCAGTTTTCTCAAATCCAGTGCCTGGAGAGGAGCTGTTCTTATACTTGGCAGTTTCAAAGCACGCAGTGAGTGCAGTAGTAGTTAGAGAAGAAAAGGGAGAGCAAAAGGCAGTTTACTACATGAGTAAAACCCTGGCAGATGCAGAGACCAGGTACTTACCCTTGGAGAAGTTAACACTGGCGTTAGTAATGGCTTCCAAGAAGCTGAATCACTACTTTCAAACCCACAAAATTGTGATGTTAACTGAACATCCTTTGAGGTCCCTGCTGCAGCAGAGAGATCTGACAGGCAAAATAGCCAAATGAACAGTGGCCTTGGGCCAATATGACCAGGAATTCAGACCCAGGACAGCAATCAAAGGCCAAGTCTTAGCCGACTTTGTGGCCGAATTCATACCAGACGCCGTCATACATCGGGCTCCGTTGAGTCGAGGTATGCAACGTCCAAGTGAGCAAGGAAGAACCCAGCAGGGGACAGCAGAACAAAAAAAGGAAGAGAAACTCAGGCCCTGCAGCATTTACATCAATGACTCCTTCTGGTTGTTTGTTAATGGGAGTTCAAGACAAGGAACAGGGACAGGAGTAGTACTAGTATCGCCAGATGGGCAGATACTGGAACAGTCCATTCGTTTGGGGTTTAAGGCCTCAAACAATGAGGCAGAGTATGAAACACTAATCGCAGGATTAAAACTAGTAGCAGCCATGGAAACCGACGAGGTAATAGTCTTTTGTGACTCCCAACTTATAGTCAACCAGGCAACAGGGAAAATTGCAACCCGAAATGAAAGGATGTCGGCCTATGCAAAGGAAATGGGCAGACTAGTAGCCTTATTCCAGAATTGTCGAGTACAGTAAGTTAGCCGAGAAAATAATAGCCATGCGGATGCTCTGGCCAACTTGGCTAGTGCAATGAAACCTGGAGAGGCAAGAACGATAATGGTTGACTACTTGACAGGTCCAAGCATAGAACCATTGAACACAGAGAGCGTGAAGCAATGTGTGTGGAGATGGGACCAAGCTGGATGGATGCAATAATAGTATTCCTTAGAGATGAGAAGCTGCTAGACGACCGCAAAGAGGCGCATAAAGTCAGACTGAAGTCGGCAAGATTCAGTTTGGCAGCAGAAAGACATCTCTACAGAAGATCTTTTCCTGGACCCCTTCTGAGGTGTGTGCATCCTGCACAGGTTGAAGATTTTCTATACGAGATACATGAAGGAGTATGTGGAAGCCACGCTGGGGGCAAGTCACTTGCTCATAGGGCCATTACTCAGGGATACTGGTGGCCCTACATACAGAAAGATGCTGAAGCCTATGTCAAGAAGTGTGATAAGTGCCAAAGGTTTGCACCTTTGATACACCAACCAGCAGCAAACTTGAACCTAGTGTCCAGCCCTTGACCATTCGCCCAATTGGGAATAGATCTTGTTGGAAAACTAGCTCAAGCAACTGGACAAAGGAAGTACTTACTAGTGGCAACAGATTACTTCACCAAGTGGGTGGAAGTTGAACCCTTTGCCAAGATTCGAGACGTTAATGTGAAGAACTTCATATGGAAGAATATCATCACCAGGTTTGGGATCCCAAGAGCAATAATAGCTGACAATGGCACACAGTTTGACAGTAAGCTAATTAAGAGCTTCTGTGCAAAATTCAAAATCAAGAATTATTTTTCCACCCCAAGCTTTCCTCAAAGCAATGTACAAGCAGAAGCATCCAACAAAGTTATGTTGGATGGGATTAAAAAGAGGCTGCAAGCAACAAAGGGAAAGTGGGTAGATGAGTTACCCAGTGTACTCTGGGCATATCGGACTACGCCGAAAAGATCAACTGGGGAATCCCCATTTGCCATGGTTTATGGCACAGAGGCAGTCATTCCCCTGGAGGTCGGCATCCCAGGGATCAGAACCCAGTGAGTGGAGAATGGGACCAATGAAGCATTCTTAACCCGCGATCTGGATTTACTAGAGGAGCAAAAGGAGAAAGCAGCAATTCAGCTGGGGGCATACCAGCAGTAGCTTGCCAGGGCTTATAATAAGAAGGTCAACCCACGAGAGTTCCAAGTTGGTGACCTCGTATTGAGAAAGGTCGTCGGCAACAAGAAGGATCCCAGAGAGGGCAAGCTTAGCCCGAATTGGGAGGGACCCTATAGAATCATCTCGGTCTTGGGTAATGGAGCATATCGGCTTAAGGACAGTGAAGGCAAAGAGTTGCCAAGACCCTAGAATAGTTGCAATCTGAAGTTTTTTTATCATTAGATTTTCTTGTTTTTTAAGCTTTCTTTTGTTTTGTTATTAGCCGAAGTAATAATAAAGTTTTAGCATGATTTTTTTAAATTGTGCAGTATGACTGATAAGATACTTGACGATGTCTCTAAGCGAAACATGACGAATAACTTAGACTTATTATATGGCAAAGTTCCTACTTGTATATAATAGAGTTGAACTAAGTTGAATTAACTGAACTTGTCATATCGGCAGAATCAGACACAGATTGAAGCTAAGTACATGTCAGTCAGATTAACAAAGAGGCCGAGGTTGATAACCTCGGCCAATCATGGTTCGAATCTGACCTTGGGGACAAGGTCAAAGTCACATGCTTAATGAGAACCCAAGTGGAACTTAGGTTCACATTAGAGGGTAGAGAGCTGGAGAATGATGCTTGGGAATTAGAATTTACAAGCTAAAATTGGTTTAACACTTGTTGAAATTTGGCAAAAAATTTACAAGTTGAAGTTAAGTCGAGACTGTGTTAAAGGAAGATAGCTTAACACTTGTTGAAATTTTGAGAAACGTTTACAAGTTGAAGTTAACCCAAGGTTATATCGAAATAATAGAAGACAGAGGTCCTAATAGGAAAAGAGTGAAGTGGCAAGTTGTAAATAACACTTGTGAAAATATTGAGAATATTTTCAAGTGTTAGGTCAAAGCTGAGATAAACTGTTAGTGGGTATAGCCAAAGTATTCCATACCGAGAAGATTACACAGTTAAGGTGTACGATTGAAGACATGTAAAATATTCTAAGTATAAGAGTCATACAAGAGTAGAAAAATGACAAACATGCAAGCATTCAAAAGAAGAAGTTCTATTCATGTTCAAAAGAAAGGGCACGTCGGCCTACAAAAAGATTACTTGTACGAGTCACAAAAGTGGCACCTCGGCCAAATTAAAGTTTACATTGTTCCAAATGTAAGAAAAAGTACAAGGTACAAAAAATAAAGAAAACGGACTACTCGGCGTCAGCTATGGATTGTTCCTCGGCCCCAAAAGACAGTTGGGAAGACTTATCAGCAACATTCTCAGCCTCGAGCTCAACATCGATCTCCTGTAAAGTTTGATCGAGGCTCTTCTCGGCGATAAGCACCTCGGAGTTTGTCTTATGGGAGGAGGCATCCTTTGAGACCTCACCCTCCTCATCCTGAGACAAGTCCACGACTTGCTCATTCAGAGTAGGGGACTTAGCCCCAGCAATTTCCTTCTTCTTTCTAACCAAAGCTTCTTTCTCGGATTCAGAATCATCTTTGGATTGGCTTGGAGTAGGGGGGAATGGCAGGACAAAGCTATTAGCATTTCTGAGCGGGGAATCCTCGGGGATAGCCAACGCCTTCAGAGCAGCCATCCAACCAAGGGTATAGCCCTTGTTGCATGTCTGTCTGACTTGTCTCTTGTAGTCTTCTTTGACATCGGCTGCCCCCTCGGCGTACGCCTTCTCGTCAGCCGCTTTGATCTCGTCCTCTTTTGTGGCCAGGCCTTCTTGAAGTTCTTTTTGGGCCTCAACCATCTTTGCCTTTGCCTCGGCCTCTTTCTTTTCGGCCGCAAGGACCTTGGCAATGGCCTCTGCAACGTCAGCCTTTTCCTCGGCCTCGTCCTGGGCCTTCTTGGTTGCCTCGGCCCGATTTGTCAAGGCCTTCATTTTGCCCTCGACCTTGTTGAGGGACTTGGACAAGTTGACAGCCTCCTTTGTCTTGTGGACCAACTCCTTTTTAATGTTAAAAGCTTGCATCGCGAAGGAGTGGCCATGCTGGATCGCCTAAAAGAAATGGAGAAAGCAAATGTTAGTAAAAACCCTCTAAGAATGGAAAAAACAGAAAGCGGAGATTATTAAGTGATGGGGGCTTAATTGCACGGAGTGCTGCAATATCAAAGCAAAATTTTCGTACTCGCTCATCCCGGCATTGTGCTCGAGATCATTGGGAAAGAACAAGCGGTAGAGAGGGCAACACCAACTTCAATGTCATCAACACTGTCGCTAGCTCTAACCGACTTGTCCTCAATGGTAATGGGGGAAGCCCAGGGGGCATTGGATTTCAGAGAACCCGAGGTTGTGGCCGATTTAGACCTCGGTCTCTTTGACCTGGTTGATTCGGATGGCGCGGCCTCGGCGGGCCTTTTTTCGACGGCAGAGGCACTTTTTTCTGCCTCAGCAATCTTGGAGATCAGCAAGGTGTCCTCAGTGTCGATCTGAGTCACCGTTGTCTTGGGTTCAACTTTTTTTAGCCTTTTTGGTTTCGGCTTTGGTTGAGGCTGGGATTGTGCTGGTTGTGCGGTGCCAACATCCGGGATGTCGGCCAGAAGATTGTCAGCAACTACTTTCTTGCAACCCATCTCGGCGGCGATTGCGGTTCGGCGTTGGCATTTGCATTGAGATGGAGGGATCACATATGGAGCCGAGGTTGATGGCTGCTCAGCTAGATCGGAGGTTGATCCCTGATCTGGCCGAGATGATGAAGTTGCTGGTGGAGTTGTGGCGAAATGAGAAGACTTGCTCTTCTTCTTCGGGGTATCGGGAAGAACTGACTTGTAAGTCAGGATGTAGTTGAGCAACAAAGGAGCTCTCCGCCTCTGAACGGGTAGATCCAACAACTTCTTGAGGTCCTTACGAGGGAAGAAGGACTTACGAAATTCTTTTGCCGACTGTGGAAGAGCTGCAAGAAAAACAGACATTAGAACATATAGAAAGAACAAAGACTTGAAAAACAAGTAAGTGTAACATTTGGCTCTTACCATTACCCTCTATGAAAACTATTCGGCTAAAAGGGTAGAGGTGAAGGTCCTCCTTTGAAGCAAACTCCCAGTTGCCCGAGACAATGAAGTAATCGTCCCCAGCTCCTTTGTTGGAGTTTGGGAGGTCGGCAACAAGTTTATATTCGGTGGACCTCAGTTTGAGATAGTAGATGTAGCCTTTTTCTAACTTGAGGCCACACATGGTGTAGCAATATTGGATGTCACCTAAAGTTACCTTAGCGTTCTCTTTTTTGGCTAAGGCTATTATACCGTTAATAACTCGGTAGGAGTTGATGGCAAGCTACATTGGGTTCAATTTGTAGTAATGAAGGATTTCACGGAAAAGGATGTCAATTGGAAGTCTAAGTCCACACTCTATGAAAGCTACGACTGGGAAAGGCATGGAGTCAACTGTGGGCATGATGGAGTCATCCTCCCCAGCCAACCTCAGATGGATGTCGGCTGGGATGGAAAACTCCTACCTGAAATATTCTAGCTTAGTTGGGGTGTCTACCCTATACCTCCACATACCCATGATGTCAGCTTTGGGAAAGGTGTTGGATTTCAAAGGAAGTGTTTTGTGAAGGTTTGAAGGACCTCGGCTAAAACCAAATGTGTGTTGGGATAAGAAGTTTTGAGGATCTAAGAGGAATTTGTTTCGGTCTTCCCTAAAGATTCGTGGGTTTTATGACAAATCCCAAATCTAAGTCTATGTAAACAAAGGATTAAAGGCAAGATTCTAGAGAAAACACACAAAAAAAAAAAAAAACAAAGATTCATAATCAAGAATGGTGATGCATTATCAAGAACGCTGCGATAGAGTGTGTGCAAGGGTGCAAGGCCAAGAACGGTGGCAAAGTAGGCAAAGTGTGTGATACATGTGTATACCCAAAAACAGGTGAAACAGAGTATGTTTTAAGCATACAAATGGTGAAATTTGAAGCACAGACAGGAGTAGGAGCATATGAATATGTTCAAACGTGACTAATAAACAGAGGCAATAAAATGTGAAACAAGAAATTAAAACGAATGAAGGAACGGTGACTTACCGAAGAAAATGAGGCCGGTGTAAAATACGGCGGTGTCGAATGGTGGCAGAGAGCAAAGAAGTGCAGCAAAAGCCTCGCCGGAAGGGGAGAGTGAAGGTGGTTGCAGAAAGCTTCATGAGAGCAACAATGGCGGATTTAGGAAAGAAAGTTAGAGAGAGAAAAAACTGAAAGCCTACACGGAGACAAAGATGCAAAAGTGAAAAGACAGAGAGAGAGAAGTGGTTTTGATCAAAACCACGAAATGGCGGCAAAATTACCATCAATGTGCCTATGACGACGTGCTTATCAGATGGCGCATGCAGACGCAAGGCGACTTAAAGGCGCGTGTCAGCTATGATCCAGTGAGGGAAAGACGCGTGGCAGAAACGGTTGAAATACTGTGCATGACAGCTCTCACGCGTGATAAAACTTTTGGAGTTCTTGGTTTAATGAAGCAAAGACCTCGGCTAAGAGGATGATCTCGGCTAAATAATTTAAACCAACTTGATTATTTGCTCTAAAGGCATTTAGGGAAAACAGATTACAGATCTTGGTCATATTGAGCCGACGAGTCTTGATTTCGGTAATACATAATGGAGTTAGCATAGCCGATGTTCTATATGGTTAAATGATATAGGTTCCATCACCTTAGTATACTGAAGTAATAGAACCTAGGGGGTAGTTATGGGGACATAATTTTTGAATGACAGCACGTGGCCGAGGTGGCACCGAAGTGTCAGCTGAGGTGCACGTGTCCTACTCATGATGCCGAGGTTATCTCCGAAGATATCGGAATCCGAGATAAGCGAATAAGGGACAAGAGTCCTAGAATGAGAAAAGACTTCAGTTTGGATAAAGATAAGACTCTTAGAGAGTTTATCCCAATTCTACTAGGAGTCTAAGATTAGCAGTAATCCAGAGTCCATTGGAGCCAGGCTTCTATTGGGACTAAGTTTGTGTTGGCTATAAAAGGGAGGCACCCTCATGGGTCTAAGGTACGATTTTTATATTCTGAACAATGAGTTAAGCACTTTTGCTATCTTTGAATGATAACTGACTTGATCATCGGAGGGCCCCCCGGCAGACGAACCACCTTTGGAATCTCTTCTTTCTGTGACCGGTCATTCAGGCTTAATCTATTCTGTCGGTGGCTCTCCAGCTGAATACTAATTTGGCAATGTGGTCAGAAATCTACTCACACAATTATGTTGAATTCTGTTAAAGTTTTTTAATTCAAATAATACTTGACTTTTGTTTTTATTAGTAATTCGCTAATCATATGGATTAAAAAATGACCCTATCATCTCTTTCATACTGAAATGTATAATTTACTTTATTTATCTTTTTGTTTTTACACAATTTGTGTTAATTTCGATCTCTTTATTTTCCCTTACTAAAAAGAACATCAATGTAATTATGCCAAAACTATAAAATTATTTTACTTTCTCTAAATCTCAATGATTGTGTAATTTACCCAAATTTTAATGTAACTCAATACTCTGGGTTGAACAAGAAGTGGCTTTTCAATTTTCAATTTCATTTTCATTTTTATCACATGACAGTTAATAAATGAAAAAGTAAATCACATTAATTCTGTCATATAACATATCCATTACATAAAATGTTTTTTTCAAACAATAAATGAATGAAATGGTACACCACATCCGTTTGCCACTTGCACAACATATTTTCCCCAATCTTTGGTGAAAAATTATTAGAGTATTATATCATATTTTTTCTTGATACTCTTGATAAATCAAGCATCCCAAAACATGCTGGTGAATTACACTCTTTGCTCTCAACAAGTTCATAGCTACAAATCTTGGAAGCATACAAAGCCTGCCTCACATCATCAATCAACCTCTTCTTATCAATCCCACTCCTCACTGCCCCAACCTCCTCCTTCAAACCCGCTTCCCTCAACACCTCCGCGGCCACCTCTCGCTCTTTCTTCAACCCGCTCAAATACCGACAATCCAACGAGGCTGCAATCGTGGGAGCAGCTACCGAAAGCTCCGCGGCCTGCTGGACAGTCCATTTCCCAGTCCCCTTCATTCCACTCAAAAATGACTTGTTCCACTTTGTAGTATATTTCATGATAAAGAGAGCAGCCCCAAGTGTTTCAATCTTTTTTTGTTTTTTTGTTTTTTTTGTTTTCTTTTAGAATTCAGGTGTCCAAAAATCCAAATAACTTGATTTCTTTAATGTTTGATATTCTATAAGAGTTCAAGTTAAAGTTTGTCAATCAAAATCAAATTGGATTGAGGTATTGGAAGAAATTCTCAAAATCCGAACAATTCAAAATTTATATTACTAGGTAATAAATAATTAATATAATACTTATCACTATTTCTCTAGTTAGATTAAATCGTGTCTCAATGTAATTAATTTTATTATTTGTTGTGTGTAATTTAAATTATTTCCGAAGAAACCCGAACTTGGTCAAGTTGGTCCACGCTACAAGTCAAGCTTGAATATGATTTGAGCAAATCGCTCTATACCTTGTACAAGAATGGGATAACTCTTTGCTTCAGAAAATTTTATTTTTTTTATTGAATTTTTTAAATATTTTAAATATATTTTTTTTAAATTTTTAAACACACCTAACATAAATATACTTAAAAAGTATAATATTTGTGAAAAAAAATCTTTAAAAAAGTCACTACATACCAAAAATACAAAAAAAAAAATTGAAAATTCAATATATTTTTCATATTTTGTGTATTTATTAATTTTTTAAAATATTTTTCTACAAATATCTTACTATTTAGATGCATAAGGTGCATTTAAAAAAAAATTATTTAAAATTTTAAAAATATTCACTAAAAATAAAAAAAAAATACAGAAAACAAAAAATTCAATTTCTAAAACACTAAACTCAAAAAACTGAAACCAAATAGTTTTCCAACTTCAACCTAACCAAACTCACCCGTATTTTTGTAATTATTTTGAAACTTTTTGTACATATGGTACAAAAAAATTATTCTCAATTCTTTTGTAATTATTTTTGATCAATATTTTTATTTGGAATTCTCCTTAAAGAAAATATAATAATATAGCAAGAAAGAATAGCCAACCTCAAAAGTCTTCTCATAATAATTATAAAGGAAAATATCATAGATTCCATATAATTTACTAAATTTTTTTATTAGATCTCTAACATGGGTGTAAAATTTATACAAATTTAGGGTCCGTTTGACAAGTTAGTTTTGGACTATTTTAGTCACAAAAGATAAATTAGGCTATTTTAGTCATAACAAACAAAACATCAGATCTAATTCATAATTATTACACTCTTCTCTTACAAAAAAGTTAAGAAAGTGAAAAAGCTAAAAAGCCTTCCCAAATCAAGCTTTTTAACCCAAGCTAAAATAGTTAAAAAAGTTAAAAAATTAAAAAGCTAACTCACTTCCCAAACGAAAGCTTACATATATGTAAACCTCACGTCTGTATAAGAGATTTAGCCTCTGTTTGGCAAGATGGTTTTCAGGTTTTTTTGGCTATTTTAGCCACAAAAAACAAAATAAGCTATTTTAACCATAACAAACAAAACATCACATCCAACCTATAATCATTACATTCTTCTCTTACAAAAAAAGTCAAAAAAGCCAAAAAGCCAAAAAGCCCTTCCCAAACCAAGCTTTTTAGCCCAGGCTAAAATAGCCAAAAAAGCCAAAAAGCCAAAAAGCCAACCTACTTCCCAAACCAAGCCTTAATAGATTATGTGAAATTCCTATAATAAATTAATCATAAATTTGATCATGTGAGGGGCCCAAAGTCTGCAATTACGATTCAATTTTCATATCTACTTTTATAGGGGCAGACATGGTGTCCCAGCATATATGCTTCCGAAGTGGTCTCATTAAGTCACTTAGGCCAAGTTTGGCATCCTTCAAAAAAGTCAAAAAGTCAAAAAGTCACTATCCTATTTAAGTCACATCATCTTATTTAAGTCACATCACCTCTCTAACACATCACTTTCAAACCCAACCCAAATTCAACCCATATTTCATAAAAAGTCAAAAAGTACACTTATTTAGTCTTCCCAAACTTTGCCTTATTTCCACACATGATATCTTGTATAATTTTATTTTTTTTTTAAATTGGCACATTTTTTTAATGATTTTACCCCTAACATCAGAGGTGTTGCTGATCAGTCAAACAATTGAAAAGAGGGAAGAGGGAAGAGAGAAGGAATTTGGATCCTCGGCCGCCCTTTTGGGCGGCAGTTCCAGCAGCCCCCCCAAAACGACGTCGTTTTGGGGGATTTTTTCGTTTTTTTTTTTTCCTCAAACATTTTCCTTTGTAATTATTTTGAAACTTTTTGTACATGTGGTACAAAAAAATTATTCTCAATTCTTTTGTAATTATTTTTTGATCAATATTTTTATTTGGAATTCTCCTTAAAGAAAATATAATAATATAGCAAGAAAGAATAGCCAACCTCAAAAGTCTTCTCATAATAATTATAAAGGAAAATATCATAGATTCCATATAATTTACTAAATTTTTTTATTAGATCTCTAACATGGGTGTAAAATTTATACAAATTTAGGGTCCGTTTGACAAGTTAGTTTTGGACTATTTTAGCCACAAAAGATAAATTATGCTATTTTAGTCATAACAAATAAAACATCACATCCAATTCATAATTATTACATTCTTCTCTTACAAAAAAGTTAAGAAAGTGAAAAAGCTAAAAAGTCTTCCCAAATCAAGCTTTTTAGCCCAAGCTAAAATAGTTAAAAAAGTTAAAAAATTAAAAAACTAACCCACTTCCCAAACGAAAGCTTACATATATGTAAACCTCACGTCTGTATAAGAGATTTAATAGATTATGTGAAATTCCTATCATAAATTTGATCATGTGAGGGGACCAAGGTCTGCAATTACGATTCAATTTTCATATCTACTTTTATAGGGGCAGACATGGTGTCCCAGCATATATGCTTCCGAAGTGGTCTCATTAAGTCACTTATTTCCACACATGATATCTTGTATAAATTTATTTTTTTTTTTAAATTGGCACATTTTTTTAATGATTTTACCCCTAACATCAGAGGTGTTGCTGATCAGTCAAACAATTATATCATTTACTTTGCAACTTTAAAATATTCTCTCCCTCTTATTCTATTAATTCACTATTTCATTTTGAAATATTCCAAAATGATGGTCTTATTCAAAAAATCAAAATAAAAAAAACATTTAATTTTTCAAAACTATCCCTTTTGAATAATTGTAAATATATTAAAAATTTAAAAAGATAAGAACATTAGTCCAAAAATATTTTAAAATTTAAATTTAAATGTAAAAAAATAGAAACTAAAAAAGACCAACAAATTAGAACAAAGAAAGTATTATCGTTCTCATTACATCTTAAAAAAATTAAATTAATTATACGAACATCCCATTTTTGACAAATATATCAACTTCTCATTTAATTTTTGAAATTATACTTCTTTTTTTTTTTGGTTACTTTAGCTAATACTATGCACAAAATTTTCTTCCATGTTTCTAGAATACTAACAAAAAAATTATAACATCAGCATGCTATGCTTAACAAATTATTCAAAAAGAAAACCCCCCATCCACTATTCAACAATCCCCACAACCAAACACCTCCCTTCCGTCCTTTCGGCCAGTCTCATTCCATAGCCATCCAAACCCATTACAAGTGAAGTGGTCATCAAAAACCCACGTCTACGTGCTCCTGTGGGTTTGAGATGGCTGTCAGAATCGTCATCAACTCTAAACTCACATGTCTGAATGCAAATATGTATAAAGTGGAAAGACCACGTTTGGTACGAAAAGAAGAAAAATGTTTGGGGGCCCTAATTCTGTGGCTCAAATGTGGTTCAAATGGCCAAAACGACGTCGTTTTGGCCATTTTGATGTTGTTTTGTACTCAAAACGACGTCGTTTTGGCCATTTGAGCCACAAAATTTGGGCCCTCTACCATTGCTCCGAAAAGAATGGACTGAAATGAAATGAAATGTTCATTTTAATTTTATATTCCCTTTTTTTCATTTGATAAGTTTTATTTAAGTTAGAAAAATTATTTCATGGGATTGCCTATTTCAAAAAATATTAAGAATACTATTCCATTTCAATATGAAATCATCACAAAATAAAATAAAATTTTCTTGATAAAAAAAAAAAAAGAAAATAAAAAATGATTCGTTGTGTTTGGTTCCTTTTTTCTAAACTCATTTTTTAAAAAAATTTAGCGTTTTTGTTTGATTACTTTAAAAACCGGACAAAGTTTTCAAAATTTGACTTCTGATTTTTTTTTTTTTTTTTATTTTACACTTTTTTTTTTTTAGTTTTCACTTTTTTTTTTTTTTTTTTTTTTTGAAAATGTACACATTTTGGTTGGCTTTTTTGTGCACTTTTAATCTTTTTGGTACACCTTTTTGTACAAAGTTTTCATAAAGTTTTCAAAATATGAAAATGTACACTTTTTATATTTTTTAATCTTTTTGGTATTTAAGCCTCAATTGACAGGTGACTTTTTTAAGTCAAAAAGTCACTAAAAAAATTAAAAAGTCAACAACTTATACTAAAACGTCAAAAATTTCATTTTCTCTCTATTTTTTGCACATCTTTTCATAAAAAACTAAAAAGTCATCCCAAACATATTAGTTTTTTTATATCATATTTTAGTCAAAAAGCTAAAAAGTTACTTAAAAAGCATGTTCCCAAACGAGGCCTTAGCGTATTAATAATGGGCTTCAAAAATTATTTGCACAATCTTTAAATATACATTTACAATTTCAAATATGAAGCAAAATTTATATTAACTTCAACAATTTATGAAGACAAATCGAAAATACAAATTTTTGAGTGAAAATTATCTGATAAAGTCATATTTAATGGTATGATATGTATCCATAAATGGATACATATCAAATTATGTTTTCATACATATATAGCATGTACATACATATATATATATATATATATATAACTAACATGAGAGTATTTTTTGATGTGACAAATTTTTTTTTTTTAAATTATCTCTCCTTAAATTAGAGGAAAACTTGAATTTGCAATAATATATTTTTTAAAAACCAAACAAAAATCTTTTTTCAAAATAATGTTTTCAAATTACTTTTTGAAAAAATAATTCAAAAAAATAAAACCAAACATGATTATTACTTTTAGAAAAAAAAAATTCTCTCTCACAGGGCTATTTTGGGAACTTGGCTAAAAGCCACTTTTTTTTGTTAGTAACAAAAGTCAAAAGTTGACTTTTTTGGCTTTTTTTTCATTTGGCAAGTTGGTTTTTAGCCAACGGTGCAATTACAATTTTACCCCTCATGGGTCACAATGTGTTACATAGGTTCAGTTGTAAATATTTTAAATAAATGAGGGTAGTTTAGTCATTTTATTATGATTTGACATCATAAACAAATATTAATCAAAAAAGTCAAAAGTCACTTTTTACCAACTTTCCAAATCATTTGTCTAAAAAAGCCAAAAGCTTGGTTAAAAGTCAAAAAGCCACTTTTTACCATCTTCCCAAAATAAGCCATAGTCTCTCTCTAAATACGCTCACCTAATCAACCATAGACAACTTCATCATTGTTCTTCTATTTTTATTTCTACATTTTAAGATTAATAAATATTTTATTATGATTGTTCGTATTGTGCAATTTTAAAATTTATTATTTTGTTCATATTGATGAAATTTTTACAATTTTTATTCAATTTTTAAATTTAATATGATTATACAATATTTAATTTGACAATTATTAACTTGATAAAAAATTCTATTCTATTCAATTTGTTGAACAAACCAAATATGAGAATAAAATAATCATTCCATTCTATATCATATTACAATGTCAACCAAACAATAGAATAAAAATGAACATTCCATTACATTCTACAATGTATTCCATTCACTATTATTTCATTTCATTCCACCGTATCAAACCGTGCTCAAAGATAGGAATGTTTAGTTGAGAGAAATAAGAAAGAAGTAAAAGGTATAAATGTATTCATATTGAATATAAAAATTATATAATACAAAATTTGAGAAATTTCTAGAAAATTAAAATGCGGGTAAAACAATAAAATTATTTCAAAATTTTAAATGGGAGGCTACCATTTTCTAAACTTTCAAAGTTATTATTGTTTCTCCGTAATAACTAAATCAACCTAATGTAAAAATATGGGCAAAACAATAAAATAACATTAAACCATCCCTTCTATCAACCAACTAAAAATGATTCCCCTTATTCACTTTCCTTTCTTCCCTTCCCAACTAATTTCCTCCAAAGTTGCGGAAAAAAAAATATATATATATATATAATATAATATAATGTAATGTAATATACAAAATAAACAGCATTCTAAGGTTTTATTTATTATCATTATAAGCTAGTTTATGATCAGTAACTCAAAAAAGCATAATCCAATCAACTCACTTTTATTTGAAAAGAAATTAACTATCAAGCAGCCCAAGCAGGAACCACAAATAAATTTTGGCAGCAGAAAATTGAAAGTACACAAACAAGCAAATCAGCTAGCAGTTCCAACAGCACAAGACCAATATATTGTCCGATCTTGAAAAACTTGGATAGACAGGAGATGATAAATACATAATACTCGAACCCATCATACAGCAACTTGACCAAAGAGCTGCTTGCGGATCTGCAATAAGAAGAGTCATAAACATGGTCAAACCACGGATATAGGTTGGCAACCTAAAGCTTTAGAGGGTTACCGAGTTTAATGCATAATTATGTGACCTAATGGTTCCCTCTGTACTCTTTTTGTGGTGGTGGGGAGGAACATTAGTATGGGGTATAGATATATCAGAAATTTCCAAGTAGTATACTCGAGAATGATACCCTTTTTTCTATTTTGTGGGTTTGTTGGAGACTTCACACATCACTAGTTAATGGATTTCTGTGTTAACAAATATCTCAAAACAAAACCTGAGAAAACAAATGTCATTTAGCTGAGCCAAAATGCCTAAGCATATGCCTAGTGCATTGGAGTTGAAAAAAGTGAGTCATATTAGGCATTTTGACTAACAAGCATCATATGTCTAGTGGGTTGGAGATGCTCTTAGAGGGTTACCGAGTTTAATGCATAATTATGTGACCTAATGGTTCCCTCTGTACTCTTTTTGTGGTGGTGGGGAGGAACATTAGTATGGGGTATAGATATATCAGAAATTTCCAAGTAGTATACTCGAGAATGATACCCTTTTTTCTATTTTGTGGGTTTGTTGGAGACTTCACACATCACTAGTTAATGGATTTCTGTGTTGACAAATATCTCAAAATAAAACCTGTTTTAAGTATATCACAACAGCTACCTATAGTTTCAAAATTTTTGGGCTATAATTGAAGAGAGGGGAACCAAGGCCAGTATCATCACCAGGCATCTGAGAAAACAATGTCATTTACAAATGTTTTTATTTGCACAGAAAGAAGCAATTAACTCACTGAAATGCATCTTTGGCTCAACCTCAAAGTCTAGTTTATCAATATCTAAGGGTAGACCAAATGAGGTGATCAACATACAATGCCAATTAGACCCATGCAGACAGAAGGAGCACAAAAACAGGTAATGAGCAGAAAGTGAGTTTCCATAACCTTTTGATAGTTTTAGATGGTTGGCAAATTTTATACATCCTCCCAACTAAGACACATGGCTTGCATTTGGGTTCCATCACTTGAGATGGAACCACCTAACACAGTGTCTTGTTGATATGTTTGTTGATACGATTGTTAGTGCTTTTAACATTATTTGGGGGGAGGCAGTTAAAAATTAACAAATAGCTGACAGCGACAACTGAGGATCTCTCTACATCATGGACATGTGAGAGAATGATGCACAAGAAAGCGGCTTTGTAGAGGACAAAATTACAAGTAAAAAAAAAGACTACCTCTGGAAGCTTTTTGCGGAATACAACGTCCAACCTTGCATTCAGGCTGTTCTCAAACACAATTTTCCCATCTCGAGAAGCCAACACTACACCTCCAGAGCTGAAAAATATTTTAAAAAACAAAAAAGAAAACAGAACAGAGGGCTTTCAACCAACATTGTCGCAATAACTTCACTGTCTGAGGAGCTAAACTCTGCTGGCAGAATGTAATTGGTGAATTACAATTATACAGATTCAGCCTGCCTATTTTAAGGGTTTATCTATAACTGAAACAACATAAACTTACCAGAAAGGACCATGGGCATTATGATGAGAAGGAGCAGCTGGAAGGTAAATGCTGTCAACTACTATCTCAGGTGCATGAACCTTTGCTTTATCTGCATACTCCTCCTTTGCAGAGTGCACAACATGCTCCACATGATTTAGGTCTTCTTTTCGACAACGCAACAAGACGGCAGGCTCTTTCAGCCTCAGCAAACTCTGCAATGCATACAGTTACCATTGCAGTACCAGCCAAATTTCCCATTATCATGATAATCAACTTTATATTTACAAAGCATGCCAAAAGCAATGTCAATAAGAAAAGTTCAAAGGCTCATGTTTTGACACCCCCAATAAAATTACATCAAGCCATGTTTCCCCATGTCTTTGGAAAGAAAAAACCGTCCCCAGATCCATTACTGAAATAATGCCATTAGTACAAAAGAAATTGAAAACTATCACTATTGTAAGAGGTGATTAATGATTATATTATGAACTCAGGATCCCATAAATAAAACTTCAAGATCTTGTGAGAAGGTAGTTTTTTATTTGTTCCCGTATAGCATGAATTTTCCTTTGGGGGGGTGGGGTGGTTGAAAGAGAGTAGGAGGCAGTTAAAAATTAACAAATAGCTGACAGCAACAACTGAGGATCTCTCTACATCATGGACATGTGAGAGAATGATGCACAAGAAAGCGGCTTTGTAGAGGACAAAATTACAAGTAAAAAAAAAGACTACCTCTGGAGGCTTTTTGCGGAATACAACGTCCAACCTTGCATCCAGGCTGTTCTCAAACACAATTTTCCCATCTCGAGAAGCCAACACTACACCTCCAGAGCTGAAAAATAGGTTAAAAAAACAAAAAAGAAAACAGAACAGAGGACTTTCAATCAACATTGTCGCAATAACTTCACTGTCTGAGGAGCTAAACTCTGCTGGCAGAATGTAATTGGTGAATTACAATTATACAGATTCAGCCTGCCTATTTTAAGGGTTTATCTATAACTGAAACAACATAAACTTACCAGAAAGGACCATGGGCATTATGATGAGAAGGAGCAGCTGGAAGGTAAATGCTGTCAACTACTATCTCAGGTGCATGAACCTTTGCTTTATCTGCATACTCCTCCTTTGCAGAGTGCACAACATGCTCCACATGATTTAGGTCTTCTTTTCGACAACGCAACAAGACGGCAGGCTCTTTCAGCCTCAGCAAACTCTGCAATGCATACAGTTACCATTGCAGTACCAGCCAAATTTCCCATTATCATGATAATCAACTTTATATTTACAAAGCATGCCAAAAGCAATGTCAATAAGAAAAGTTCAAAGGCTCATGTTTTGACACCCCCAATAAAATTACATCAAGCCATGTTTCCCCATGTCTTTGGAAAGAAAAAACCGTCCCCAGATCCATTACCGAAATAGTGCCATTAGTACAAAAGAAATTGAAAACTATGACTATTGTAAGAGGTGATTAATGATTATATTATGAACTCAGGATCCCATAAATAAAACTTCAAGATCTTGTGAGAAGGTAGTTTTTTATTTGTTCACGTATAGCATGTATTTTCCTTTGTGATATTTTGATGGTTATATGGCTAATTGAGTTGAGTTGACCATATCATGATGCTTAGAAAGTTGACATGGTTCAGAAGTTCCTCTCCAAACCTCTCATTTTTCCTTTCTCTTTCTTCGCACCCCCCCCTCTTCCTTCCTTCTCTTAAAAATATCAGCTAAAGCAATGTAGAAGATCTATATGTTTGTAACCTCATAGAAAAAATATCAGCTAAAGCAATGTAGAAGATCTATATGTTTGTAACCTCATAGAAAATTCATTAACTATTTTTTTCGTGAAATTTAGACTCACAGTAGAAACCACAGTCCCAATTTTACATGATTTATGACTGTATCATAAGACAACTCACATTGCTTTAATGTCATAGAAAATTAACCATATTTCTTTAATCATATTCCATTAAAAAGACAAAAACCACGAAAAGGCCCCCCATAAAAACCCAAAACACCATTCCCAAGCACTTCAATTTTTTTTTCGCCACATATTTTATACAAAAACCAACCCTTAGAGCATCTCCAACATTTAACCCTTTTTTTCCATCAAATTTGAGTAAAAATTTGAGTAGAAGCTTCATCGTGCGTTCCAACGAAGCAATTTAGAATTTCATCAAACCATCAATCGACTGAGAGGACAACTAAAGGGATATCCGGCCGGTCACCGGCCAGTATAATTTTTTCATAGATTTTTGCAAGGAGATGGTCGTCCATGGGGGACAACCAGCCGGTTGTCCAGGGGTGTTTATGACCTGCAACTCCAACACCTATGAACAATAAATTGATGAAAGGCACAGCTACAGTTGTGCAAAATACCGCAGAATACACTAAAACAGCATCGATCCGCATCAATCCGCCCCGCTCTAACTGCTAACCACGGTTTAAACTTTAAAATTGATAATCCGCAAACCGAACTACTCCACTCCGCTATAATTAATACATATATATTTTTTAACTTCCAATGAAATACTAATGTAAAAATGAGTGTGAGAGAAATTTAAGATATGAAATTTATAACAAATTAGTGGTTATATATATGAAACATATTATGTAAAATTATTTTATGTTATATATCTAAAAAAATATTATACAAATTAGTGTTATATATTATGCAAATGTATGATAATTAGTTAGAATATTCAATTTGCCAAAAACTGTACAAACCACAATTTGTTAATCCGCTAACCACCATTCGATTTGTAATTTTACTCTCAAGCCGCCCGAATCGCACTGCACACAACCTTAAGCATAGCCATCCTCAATTTGATGAAAACTTTTATATCCTGAATTTTATACCTGTTTGGTGAAAACGTTGGAGCAGCAAAAGGCTCCTCTTTTCAACAAATTTAAATTTGATGAAAACAAAAGGTGCAGCGTTGGAAATGGTCTTAAGGAGCACAAACTCAAAAAAGCTTATGATATAGACTTATCCCACATCGTCTCTCTCTAAGCTTGTTTCATATGCTCTAAAGACAACTTCATTGCCAATTGATTTTGAGTTGGACAACTCCAATAGTTGTAACATGGTATTAGAGCTTGGACTTGGGTGGCCACTGGCCTCACGATCCAAGTCCCCTTCTCAGATTTGTTTCGCTCGTCTCTCATCTCTCTATCACTTCCACATACAACCGGACCACATATGCGGTGACTATAGAGAATTGTCCCATATTGTCTCCCTGCCCAAGTTTGGTTCATACACTCTAGAGACCCCTCCACTCGTCGCCAATTGGTTTTGGGTTAATGTAAGAGAGAATTCAGATCTAAAGGATATACTTCTAGAACCCCTACTCTCATTATTACTAATTGGTTCAGGTTACCGTGTTTCCAATAATTCAAACAAGTTCGAAGAGATGTAACAGGGAATTCAGATCTAAAGAACACTAATTGACAGAGCAAACAACTATTTTCCTTCACTAGGAAATTAAAGAAACTACTAATTCATCAAATCAATTAACACACACAATTCTAATTAGCATAGTCCACTACATAAGAACAGTAAAAAGCTCAATAGAGAGATTACATTTTTCTCCGAACTTCGACTTGCTTCTCTTTACGCTCGTACTCTTGTCTGATCTTCTTTTTCTCTGCTTCTACCAATTGCAACTTCTCGATGTTAAATTCCTGTAACAACACAACACTTTTCCGTGTCAAATCTACACATATCTGAGTCAATTACAGACATATACATACATGTTGAATGATATTTGCAACAAAAATTGAGATTTTCAGGGAAAATTTGACTTACTTCTTCTGCGGAGACGGAGATCTCGTTGGCTTTCTCTTCGGCTTCTTGGCGGATGAATCTGACCATCTGCTGGATCTGCTTGGAGACATCTGCGTCGTTCATTTTTGGATCTGAGTTTAGAGATCGGATCTGATCGGAGACAAGGCGGCGGTGCGGTGGCGGAGGCGATTCGACGAGTGGCTCTGTGTCTTCGATCGTGAATCGTAATTGATAAGAGTAGGGCCGTGAATCGTAATCCGATTCAGTCCAGTCCAGTCCAATAGGTTTGGATTGGTTTTTGAATCCGCGGTTTGGTTCCGGATTAAAAAATTAAAAATCCGTAGTTCACGGATTGATTCCGGATTGAATCCCACGGTTCCGGATTGGAACCGATCCGGACCGTATATAAATAGTCTATATTTTTATTATACACCTTCCTGTATAATATTTTCTCTTATTTCATATAAAACTTAAATCCAAACCTAAACTTGCATAGTATCTTCTTTTATTACTTTTGTTTGCTAGTTTTTAGTGTTAATTTGTAATGGTCTAAATACTTATGGTGGAACTAGTTTCTTTATGGTTGTTTAAATTCTAGAACAATTTGTCGCCATTATGAAAAGACATATTGCTATTGTGAAACTAATATGGTGCTATATTTATATTTTTATGAAAATAAAGTGTTATATATATATTTTTGTTATTTAATTATATAAATCTGTAGTCCTAAACCGATCCAATCCGTATTTAAATGGATTGGTTCGGATTGGTTCCACGATTTAAACGGATTGGATTGGTTCCAATTTTTCAGGATCCGTAGATAACGGATTGGTTCTGATTTTACTCCAATCCGGTTCAATCCGGACCATGCTCACCCTTAGACAAGGGGACGAGATAAATTGCAGCTTTTAAATGTTTGGAATTGAATCACGAGTCCTTCTACTTTTGCATAATTATTTTTTTGGAAATTTATGAATCCACCATGATGTTTCTAAAATAGCAACTAGCAAGCAACAATAGCTCTAAGATTTCATCAACCTTGCCCTTTGGAACTTGGGATTAAAAAGGAAACAAAAAACGACAATATTAGGTGGGTCGAAAAATTATGATTCGAATGGTTTGAAATATTCAAAATGATGTCGTTTTTAGTGTATAACGATATCGTTTTGACACATTCGAATCATTCGAGTCACAAAAAATCAGGCCACCAAACATTTTCCAACAAAAAAATACCAAAAACAAAGACCATTTTGGTTTTATTTTTTGAAATTATTTTCTGAATTTTTTTTAAAAAAAAAACAGAAATTTGTTTGATAAAAATAAACATTACAAATATATTTTTAATTTTTAAAAATTATTTCTATCTTTAAAAAAGATAAAATTATATAAGAATGAGAAAATTATATGAAAATGAGAAGTGTTTTTGATTTTTTGAATTTTTTTTAATAAAACTATTTTTTATTTTTTACTTTTTTTAAATCTGAAAGTGGGGTCGCCCAGCCCGTGTTATTTGTGTGTCAGGCTTGGAGTTAATGGGTTAGGCTTAACATTGGGACAAAGAGCAATGGATCTGGCCCAACTCATGGCCACCCCCTACTTTATGTTACAATTTTTCAAGGATAGTTAAGGGCTCATTAATCAAAAATTTAAATTTTGTTCTAATTTTTAATAATAAATTTATCATTATATATATTTTTAAAAAATATAATTCAACTAGTTATACTTCTTCTATCATATTTCAATATAAACTAACACAAATAAATCAAAAATAAATTAAAACTCATAAATAAAAGTCAAAATGTTTTAATCACTTATTCTTTATATAAATTTTTCAATGTTATTACTAGTACCAAATAATTATTTTACAATCACAAAATATATTTTAAAAAAATCTTACGATTTTCTTATTATCAAAATGATGGGCAAATACATCAAAATTTTCACTCAAAAACTCATGAGCAATAGGTCTAATCCAACTAGAACTCACTGATAATTATCCCATTTTTTTAGGGTACAAAAACCATTACCTTGTATGGATTGAGAGCAGCTTGCGTCCAGTCCTTAATTAGACTAGACGGTATTATTTGGCCCTTGGAGACTCACCACAGGTCTCGTTTTAATAATCTGAACCGTTCAATGTGTATAACTCGTTGAGTACTATATGCCTGTAAAAAATCACGTTGATCGGATATCGATAGCTATCTCATCTTATCTGTTTTTTGTCAATTGTTAATTTGTTCACAGTCCATCTTGTTTTATACAAAACAGATTTAATCACATAGCTATCGATATTCGATCAACGTAATTTTCTGTAAATATATAGTACTCAACAAGTTTTACACATTGAATGGTTCGGATTATCAAAACAAGACCCGTGATAGTCCTCCACGGATCAAACAATACCGTCCAGTCCGATTAAGAACCAAAAGCAAGCTACTTCCTTATGAATTATGCTTGAAAATAATTCTCATTTATTATTATATCTAAATAAATATAGCCAATCATCAGTAATAAATAAAATCAAATACACAAAATATATGATATTTTCAAAGGTATTTGTCTCTGCACCTACTTACGGTTCGCTTGGTTTAATTTTTTTTTTTTACATTGCAATAAATTTTGTGGGTGATATAATTATCAAAATATTCCTAATAATAATAAGGCGAAACGCATATTAATATTCACATTGATGATATAAATGTTTCATAATGTGAATATTTATACTGTCAATTTTATTTAATGTGAATTTCACATCACTGAGTTGCTAAGGGTTCAAAAAAATATTTGTAAAAGTAAAATTATTCACCAATAGGGGTTGGTTTAGTGGATCTGTACGGTTTGCGGTTCGGCTTTGTCCCGCCCGCATTTATGCGGTTTGGGGAAAAGTCACAATAATATCTTATACACTAATTAATATAAACATTTTCATAATCTTATACTTATCACTAAGGGTGGTCGCGGATCAGATCTGTGCGGTTTGCGGTTCGATTATGCGGTTTGGGAAAAAGTCAACCCGCAACTGCTCGCAGTGCGGTTTGCGGTTTGTGCAGATAGGATTCGCAGATGGTTTACAGTTTGACTTTTTTCTTTAAAAATTTTATTTTTTGAGTTTTTTTTTCCCCTATTTTGTAAATATTTATTTTGGGCAATTTTCTCTTAATTTTCTACAATGTTCCAACATTAATAATTAATGAATTAAATCTCCAATTTTCATAATTCCTTTGACAAAAACAAATTCAATTGTTCAGAATCTAAACAGATTCCAAATCAAATTCAATTAAACATAATTGGAACTTTCCGGCAGTGTCCATTGTTCAGGATTGATTTTGAATGGGTGATCATCCCCTTCGTAAAACTTTAAGGCCATATTTGTTTGGGTGGACATGAGCTTGGGATTGGATTAATAGTCCAATAAAATTATTAATCCGATGTTTGGTTAAGCAATTGAAGTAGGGGCTAATTATTTTAAACTTGACTATTAGTTAAGATATGATACATAATCCAACGGATTCGTAGTCTTAGGACTATTAATCATGGGAATGCTAATCCAGTCCGCTCAAACAAACATGGCATAAATGACTTAAAAGATGCAAGTTGGACTATGCTTGTTGGAGAAATTGGAATGGAGTTTTGCTTAATTTTCTGTAGTATCTTTGAAGACAGAGGAGTAGGCACTTCCTAAACAAAAATGCAACCACCACCAGCAACCTGAAGGAACCCAAAAAAAAAAAAAAAAAAAATAAATTGGCTTCACATATTCCTGTAACAACCATCATACTGTTTACCGATTAATGACTGATTGATTACCGATAAACATTGATTACCATTAAACTGAACTGATTATGACTAATAATGGGACTGGTTAAAGTACTGAACTAACTGACTGAAAACTGGAACTGAATTGACTGAGTATGTATGTTAATTTGTATTCTATCTGTTTGATTGATTATTTGATCTGTTCATGTTTTACGTTTAAACTGCAAATTGAAGGCCTTATCGGCGGCCGAACCGAGAATTGGTTGATGTTTTATGATCCTTAGAATTAATGTGCATTTATGGTATATTTATCTGAAAACTGATTAGGTATGATTAAATTAGATTAAAACGAGTTAATTGCAAAGTTTGCCGTAATTACCAAATTGCCACCCTTAGTGGCCCATTCAATATAACATGTGAGCCTTGTATACACTTGAAACAAACATTTCCTCAGCCCTTTCTTGAGCCTTGCCGACCTAGAGAGTAGAGAGGGAGAGAAATTGGTTTTTCACCTTGAATTGCTCGGAAACTTGAAGAATTGCTTGGTAATTGAAGTGTAGATTGCTAAATTGGACCTCTAGACTTGCATTCAAGGAACCTAGGTAAGGATTTCATCTTCTCATTTTTGTGTTTGAACTAATTCTTGCATGGTCCATGTTAAATTGTAGAGCTAAGTCATGTTTTAGTTCATACATGTTGATATAGAGCATAATTCATGCATGCATGTTTGAATTGTAGATGTTTGAGTTGTTTTCATGGCAAAAGGTTACATGCATGTTCATAATTATGTTTAAGTCCATGATTTCACCATGTTTTGAAAAGAATTGGCTCCTTAGAGCATCAAATTGGAGCTTCAAAATGATTTGAATTCATGCATGATTGCATGTCCTCCATGTTTATGTTATTGGTTTGAAATTGAGTTTGAATTAAACACCCTTGGGCTTTGATTTCTCAAATTGAGCTTTGAACCATGTTATTCTATGTGTTTACAAATGTTTTCCAGAAAATGGGCCCAAGAGGATTGGTTTTGATGCATTTGTATGTGAGTTTGAGCTTGGAGGTGCAATCTGGGATTTCCAGATTTTGCACTCCCGCTCGAGCGATGTAATTGACGCTCGAGCGTGGAATCCGAGCATCCAGTATCTCTGCACTGTTTTGCAGTCCGCTCGAGCGGAGGACTGGGCGCTCGAGCGGAGTCATGTGTCTCAAGCTCGAGCGGGCATCGAGCGTCCGTCGAGTGGAGATTCCACCCATCCAGCACTTTTGACTGTTTTTACAGAACGCTCGAGCGAGTAATGCTACGCTCGAGCGGGTACCCTTGTCTGCATGTCCGCTCGAGCGGAGTGATCTACGCTCGAGCGTGACCCCTGTTTTCTAAAAAATCTGAAAATGCTTTTAAAGTGCATCTTTGCATCCTCATCTCGTTCTAGGCATTCTTAGGCCTAGTTTAAAGCATTTTAATGAGGATATAGATG